ATAGGCTTGAGAGTTTGAAAAGTCTTGATTGAAAGAAATAAAAGCATACTGCCACCGCTTTCTTCGTTCATTACAGATATCTTATCCACGTCATGGATGTTAATTATTATAGTGAAGCTATGAAACGGCGCCCTCGATTGTAATATACGTGTTCGGAGGGGCAGCAAAGAAGCATTGCCCATGAAAACGATCGGTTCGACATAAATAAAACAATAATTGATGAAAGAAAAAAAATCTAGGTTTATTACAAGGAAAGCGGACTTATTAAGCAATCGAAGTTGTAAAGGTTATGAAAGCACGTGCTTGACGACTAACAATGCATTCGATGAAGCGACATTTTTTATCACTTTTTTGACTTACCTTTAAATAACCAAAGGCTATTTTGCGGCACCAGAGATGAGCTTTTACCAGCTTGCCTAAGAAAGTGGGGTCCAAACGATGAAATATACGGTTTTACCGTTTATCGAATCGTAACACGAGCCAGCCAAGAGACAACTGACACGTTGATGTTGTGTGACTAGCCTCATAAATAATGCACCTTTCACTGAGGGTCAAAATCATTGAAGCGTTGATAGATATGTTAATATTTTTAACAGGCCCTCTGTAGAAGAAAATCAAGAAAACTGGACAATGGAACTAAGGAGGAATGCACCACGCTCTGTTTTCTCCGAGATCGATCAAACTGTGATCAGTATGATGAGGTTTTAAGCGGTGGGGCATTATAATTGAACGGCATTCTTTCAGCGAAAGAAGGCTTCAGTTATTAGATGCAAGGAATCCGCCGCCATTTGTGTTTGAATCATAAAACTTTTTTCAGCTCATAACCATAGTCCTTACATGCTAAATTAGCCCCGCTACTTGGCTATTTGAGCATTTACCATTAGTCAGTCAAAACCGACTTAGCTTGTCAGGGCAGTCAATATACCCGGAGGGGGGGGGAACACTTGGTTATTTTTTGGGTGGGTATGTGCCACCCAGGACTCCAAATTGGCACCCCGTTCTAAAAAAAAATTCCCCTAAAATTGATACCCCGTTCTAGAAATGGGCCAATTTTTTATACCCCGTTCTAGAAAGTTTGTAAATTGAAATAACCCTGTTTTTTAAAAAGATATGTTCGACTTATACAACAAATAAATGCTTCTTCACAATCATCCGGAGTACGTTTCCTGTGTATGTGGATACAATGCGGTTAATTATGACGCAAAATCTCTCATCACGCACAGAACCACGCTCGTACGCTAACGATTTTCCTTCTCCTCCTCCCTCGGGTACATTATAAACTCGTTCCAGACTTCCGCGCGCCTATTTATCCAAGATGGCGGAGTCAGCGCTCGCGGCTCGCGCCAAAATACGCCCGCCCTGCACGCTAAAACACAGGGTGCAACAAGAGTACGCATTGAACCGTATTTTTAAAAGTAATCTGTCCTTGAATAATTTCAAATGGCTGCTTACAAAACTGGAGCTTTCGTGCGTTCGAAATATTATACCCCGTTCTAGAAAACTCCTCTGAAATGGATACCCCGTTCTAAATCAGGAGCTTCAAAATCACGACCCCGTTGGGTGGCACATACCCGTATAGGTAATCTATGAGAGTATCCCCCCGGGTCAATATATAACCGTGCAAACGCCGGGGTTATTTCATCCAAAGCATTTCAAACGGACCTCTAGAGCCAGGGTGCTATTAATAAAAGATGTCCACAGTCCCGAAAAAACCCTTTACCTCAAAACAGTATGCTCTGCAGTAAAACGGTTTATTTAGAATTAAGTACATCGGGGCGCAATTGGAGAGTAAGACACCGAGTAAAACTTCATTCCTTCATTAAAGTTCTAGAGTCAGTGGTCATCAAGCGACTTAGGAGTCTTTGTCGTTTACGACCTCTCATGGAGCAAACAATTCAAGTATTTGAACAGTCGTGTCGCGCAAATAAGCTGTTAGGTTACATTAGACGTCATACAGGAAGCATAAGAAGCACTGACGTTAGGCGATCGGTCTATACTATTTCACTTTAGTTAGACCTCTTTTCGGCTATGCAAACGCAAATTTGGGCTCCTCAGTCTATAGAACTAATTACAATAATTGAAAGGGCAAAGGCCTGCCACTAAATACTCGAATTGCCTTTTTCCTGCACAATTTCCACAGGCAGCCCAAGCTCAAAATGAGAGTACATGCAATTGCGTAATTTTCAAAATGGCCGTCATTATGAGGGATTTGTATGAGAATCAGGTAATACATTCGAGAAGATAAATACTGGTATTAATTTTCAATAAACTACGCTTTACCTTGTTTGCTTGGTGTCCTCTTGCTTCCTGTGTCTAATTTCCCGATCCGTTGCGATTTAAGCGATTTCCTTCATCCCGGGTTTCCACAACGGATCGGGAAAATAACCACATAGGAAGCAAGAAGACACCAAGTAAACTAGGTAAAGCGTAACGTGTTCAAAATTCATGCCGGTGTTTATCTTCTCGAATCTATTACCTGAACCTTTATAATGACGGACATTTTGAAAATTACGCAATCGCACGTACTTCCATATTAAGCTTGTGCCGCCTGTGCAATTTCTTAGATGGACAGACTTAAATCTTTTTTTTTCTTTTCAAAGTCATTCATGGTCTCGTATCGGTAGATCCATCAATTATTTCTAAAGCTCTCGTCACGACGGAGACCTACCAGATCTTCATCTAGTGGTGTTACTAAAAATTTGTCGAGCCTAAATGCCACACAGCAACTTATCAAAACTGTCCTATATCAGCAGATGCATACGCGTATGGAACGTTGTTGCTGATGATGCCGAACTGAACCTGCGCATGAACGCCCGGAATGATTTTAATCAGGCAATGGTAGAGCAATACAAAATCGCCTTAAGTAATCACGACTGTGAAAATCCCCGCACTTTTAAGTCTGTCTGTCTTAAATGTAATAAGTGGCGTACTTGTCTTGCCCAGCCTGTCTCTTGTTGCTGTTAATTTTGTGGTTATGTATTTCAACTATTCTTATATTTTTAATTTTCTGGCCCCTCAGCAACTGGCTCACGCTGTTGCGGAATCCCTGTCACTTTTTCTTGGTTACTTTGTTTGATTACCTGAATGTATTTATATGATGTTGTCGAAACTAACAAAATAAAATAAATGAAATAAATTCCCTGTCGAAGGGCAATCCATTTGATCTTAAAATGACTAAAATTATCAGTCTAATCGCATTTTAAAGGTAAATACATTATCAGAGAGTGCTAATGGGGGTACCCATGTCTTAGTTAACTATACTAATTTTTTGGCCAAGTACTATTTTTTGGCCAATTCTCAGTCAACTACTAATTTTGGTTAGGTATTAACTTTCACGATTTTTTGCAGCGAATGTTATTCCGTCGTAACCCGAATTTTCTTTACTTGAGCACTTAATCACTTTTGGGGGTGGGCCCTACCAAAATCAAGGTATAAATTGCATGAATTCTCACACACTCCTTCCCTAGTACAATTTAGAAGTAACTGAAAATATAGAACATAACTTAACATAACATAACAACTTTATTTAAGGGTCGATGTGTCAAGCAGATACAAGCTAGTTAAGGACACTAGGTTTATAAACAATATAATTAAAAGACGTTTACTGTACTAGAAGAAAAAAAGGATAATGGCAGTTCGAAAATGAGTGTATAGATCATTCTACAATTCTCTAAAATCTAAAATTAATAAACATTTAAAATTTAAAGTTACTGAGTTAACCCTACTTAAATATTAAGGAAAATGTTAAAAAAATATTACTAAAATTCTTAAGAACTGACAAATTGTGCAGAAACCACAATTGTCGCTTATAAGATCTACAAGGTTAATGCGCCGTATGCTAGGCGTAAGCTAGGTTTGTCTTTGACTTTGCTGTCCAATCTAGACCATGTAATTATTGGTCCATAGTAACTCATAGAATGTTTCCCGTAATATAAATATGATCATGTAACACCCCTCTTGAAAAGCCTGTCTTGGTTGCCTGTTAAGGACCAACTGTACTCTGGCCTTAAAACGCATGACCGGTCAAGCCCCTGAATATCTTACATCCCAATTTATTACCCGTGAGCAAGTTAGCGAACGAACAACTCGGAGTAGCCAAAAGCTAAACATCCCTCTTTTCAGAACTGCCTCCGGACAGAGAACCCTTTATTACAGGACTGTTAAACTTTGGAACAATTTGGAATCTTTTCTTAAGTTAAGCCCATCTGATGAAATTTTTAAACGTTCCTTAAGTAGCCAGCTTTCAGATAATTTTGTAAATACTTCTTCGTTAAGTTTAAAACATTGTAATTAGTAACTAGCTAACATTGTAATTAGTATTAGATTAAGTGTTGTAATTAGTTACTATAAATAATGTAATATAATCATTGCTCCTGAAAAGCCCCTTTGGGGAGGTAACAATAAAGTGATACCGGCTTGGATGACTTTTTTAAGTCATCATGTTAAAAAACATATACGTCATTTTAAGCGAAGTGGTCAGAATGGGTAAGGGATAGCTATCAAGGCTCCTATTAAATGATTTTTTTCAGCAAGTACAGTTAACAAGAAGAAAAAATGATATTAAGCGTAAAGCCATCAAATGACACCGGCCTCATAGATCCAGACGCCGTGATTTTGTTTCGATCCAGTCGATCCATCCGACAAAATGACTTAATCACTTTCGTTTGTATCTAGTGAATTTTTAACCTGAGAAAACAGCCGACCTTTCGCGACGCCACCACTGGCCTTGCCTGCGAAATGACAGCTGAGGGACGAGCGCAGAAATTCCATACTGATGCTGGGTAGTGCTTCTGATTGGTCGTACCACGAGGGAAATTTGCTTCAAACAATCGAAGGCACACATCTTTCAAATTCAAAGTCTTAATGTAATTAAATCAGTGGAACTTCACAAAAACTACACAGACCATAATCCTCGCAACATCACTGCTATGTACGTTAAACTAACTGAAAAGGCATATATAACATTATAACATCCCTAAATGTCTCGTGTTGCAATTGTTTTAATTTTTTAAGACTCTATAAACAAAACCAAGGATGTCCTTCGGCATGTCATCACAGTCATATAAAGGAATCTTTTTTGTGCTGACGTTTTCCCATCGTCTATCTTTTTCGAGTTCCATCATCTTTTCCTGGTAGGCTCCCAGGTGATCGTCTCGAATACTGAAACAAAGAAGACCACCTGCAGAAAAGAAACCAGAGTATGAATCGTAAGTGACAAGAATTGATGTTAAGGGCGTAGCTGCCCTTATGTTAAGCCAACAACCCTATTCAGACCGGGGGCGTTTAAGCTCTCCCCCCGGTCGCAGGAAGCGATAAAAAGCAAGCTCTGAATAGTGTTAAGCCTGAGCTTACCAAAACTTTGGCGTAAATTTTAACTCACACACTGATGTCTTTCGCGGTATAAAATGGGCATGGATATACGGTTGACTTCCGATTACTCGAACCTTCTCTTACTCGACCCTCGCGCTTGACGCTATTTTGAGGAAGGTCGCGTAGTACGTGGTGAAATTTATGCTACTTACTAGACAAAAAGACTTACCAATCCTAACTATTCTAATCATCTCTACAAACGCGGAGGAACGAGCGTGTCCCTTAACCAATGTACCAGCACAAATAAGAGCGTCATACTCGCCAGTGCCTATTTCAGGAATCCGCTGGTCACTCAGAAAGGCGCAGATGAAGTTTTTGTAGACATTTTTCTTCCTAGCTTCGTTCAACATTTCAGCTGAAATATCTATCGCCGTAAGGCTAGTGTAGCCAAGCTCATGAAGTTGAACCCCTAGCAGTCCTGTCCCTGCACCGACATCGATGATTTTCATCTCATTCTTTGATTTATCTTGGCACTCTTGCTTGATTGATTCGTTTAAATATTGGCATAAAGCTTGGTACAACACATAACCCGCTGACTGGAGGTCCTGAAATCGTATTAATGCTCAAATCACGCGATATTTAATTAGATTTATTAATCATTATTCATTCAAAATATTTCGCCGTTTCTGATTGGCTCAGATCCCTGGCCAAGCTTGGTTAATTCTTCATAAAACGGCCGGCGTTGCCGGACCAAATGGCGAGCAGTACACTAAAGACTCGATGGTGTGTACTTGCTTGGAAACGAAATAGCTGAATTTCTGACTAAAACTGAACGGAAGAAATACATGCATACGCAAAACATATTGCTCGGGGATGGAACTACAAGTACTTAATTAGCTACAATAGGTCATTTGCACGCGGACATCGTTATTTTTACCACTATGACCAGAACCCTTCAGGGTTTTGCTTTCCGGTGCAAATCAGGGCTTTCGTTATTAACCTCACTGGGATAACAAAATTTAAATATGAAAGAAAAAAGAAAAGGTTCCTGGGCGTAGTAGTAAAATGACGCCATCGCGCAAATGTTATATTGAGAAGTATCAGTGATAAAAAGAAAGAAAACCTTTTTATATCTTGCATGCGTAAAGACGTCTCCTATTTCCTTTGTTGCACGCGGAAAAGGAAACAGGAGACGTGCAACAAAGGAAATAGGAGACGTCTGCACGCAGGCAATTTTATATCCTGAAAATGTGTGAGAAATAGACCAAAGTTTTGAAGAATTTACGTCTACGAGGAGGTAAGGTTCTTAAGAACTTAGAAATAGTTTGAACGAATAATAAAACTATTATTGAATTCAGTTTCCGTATGATGTTGAGAATTATGCAGATCTCGGAGACTGTTATCCACTTCGGCCGATTACATTCTCCAGCTCGATCTGCATAATTCTTCATATTATCATCATAGACAGCCTAATTCAAAAATTGTTAGGAGAAGACTCTGGATCTTCGGCATGTTGCCAGGATATACTTTCAAACCCAGTCCTAATAGCCGTGCGCTTAGTACAGCGGGCTCGGTTATGACCAACGATTTGTCAATAAACGGATGCTCGCACTCGAAAAACCTGTTTGACGAGAGAGAACAAGATTGACTGGTCTAGAACTCTGGGCTGCGGTGGCCTCAAAGGTTTGATGACTCCCTCTTTTCCTCCTCTATCAAGATGACAAAAGAAGGCTCTGATAAATGAGAGCGAACTTCAGAGCGGCGAAAGGTCGCAAGCGTAGTGACGTCCCCGGCGGATACGTAATGAGTCGAAATGAAATCTTGTCGCAGGAGGAGAAATTTGCATGGGTGAGCACATTTCCTGCTGGCTGGACGAAAATTTGCGACAAACGAAATTTTGTTGCTTAGGCCCTAGTATTCAGGGGTTTCACAAGACAGAAATTCAATTTAAAAGTCGGTTTTACCTTGTCATAACTGCTTGCCCAATCACGGTACAAATGTTCAATCTCTTCCTCTGATGTGCTGTATGAGATTGTGTCAAACCGACTGCCATAGTATTTAGTGTATCCAGCTTCGTATCCAGATTTCGCAGACATTCTGGAAGAAGAGGGGAATCGAACGTTTTCGCATTTGCATAGATATCTTGTTTTATTGCCAACCTTCATACATCGTACATAACTCCTCATAATCTTGTTATTACAATATATATATATATATATATATATATATATATATATATATATATATACTTAAGGCAAAAGGCTTTTTGAAGGTTCCCCAATGATTTCTTTACATTGTTGAAAATATAAGAGGTGGCATAATGAGTATCACTTTACATATTAGTCAAGGTATCAAATAGTATTTTTCGCTGATTATACATGTGAATGTAATGCTTCATTAAATACGTTGCTTGATTTTAATTCCTTCAAATCATTTGGTAAACTATTCCATATTATTGCTTTTCTATACTGAAGAGAAAATTTTCCAAGCTAAACTAATATTATAGGAGTGTATACTATCATTGATTTATTACGAAGTAGTCATTAAAAGTTTCAGGAAGTTTGCCATAATTATGTGAGTACATGAAGTTTGCAGTTAGGTATAGATTTATTTCGTATATATTCATTATTTTTAATAACTTGAACAAAGGCTGAGAAGTTTCTCGAAAACTTGGAAAAGTCATGAGTCTTACTATTTTCTTTTGTGCTATATAAATAGATCTTAGTCTAGTTGGATATGTGCTTGCCCAGTTAATGTTAAAATAGGTCAGGTAAGGATGAACCATTTTTAAGCTCTAAATAATGTCTTCAGAGTTTTGCTATTATTCCTGCTAATTTGATACTTTCAGTGAAACATAATTAATGTGAAATTTCCAACGCAATTTTTCTTCTATGTATACCCCTAAGAACTTTGTGTGATCGACTTGTTTTATATTTTGGAACGTTTTTAGTTTTGCTTTTGAAGATCATAAAAATAATTATTTTTCCAACATTTAATGATAATTTGTTTGCTGCTACCCACAATTTAACCTTCTCTAATTCTTGATTCATGGTATTGTTGGGAGTTTTTAAATCTTGGTGACTTAAGAACAGATTTGTATCATCGGCAAATAAAATAATATAACACTATCACCCGAAGGGGAGGTGAATAGTGATGAATATACCGAGAAGCGAAGCGTCGAGGTATATATATATAGCGCTGTTCACCTACTTTTTTATCTTAACTTTTTGTAAATTAAAAACGTCACTTAGTATAAACTTTGTTTACAGTTTAGTACAAACATTTCGAGGATTTTGTCAAGTGCACTTTTTAACATTTTGCTGCAAATTCAGCATAAAAATAATTTTCTACCTATCAGTAAACACCGACAAGCCAAAGTTCGTCACTTTCTTGGTATTTGCTTGTACGACTGCTTCATTTATCGCTCAGATTTTGTCTACCGAAAATGTCTTAAAACGAGACGCCATCTTGGCTCCGGTCGCAAAACAGTGAATAGCCAAGGATATTCCGAGTTACGGGAGCCAATCAAACGCGCGAAAATTGCTATTCACTGATTTGGTAAATACAAAAGCAGTATATTGTGATCTACCGTGTCAAATGCCTTGGAGAGGTCTAGGAAAACCCGCATTGTATATTCAATGTTTTATACTACCTTAGATATCTTTGAAACAAGCTGAAGAATTGAAAATTTGTTGACAGGTTTTTACTGAATCCGTATTGACTGTCTGTTAAGATTTTATGGTTATTTAGAAAAAATAGAACTCGCTTGTACATTAATTTTTCCAAAATTTTTGAAAAACATGGACGTACCGATATAGGTCTATAATTTGAGAAAAGTTCTTTCTCATTTGCTTTATAAACAGGGGTTACCAAAGCTAATTTAAGTTCATCAGGTATAATATCAGGGAGAAAACATTGGATATATATGGTAGGAAGTGGTTTGATTATATGTTTAGATATCGCTTTTACAACCCTTGGAGACATTTCATCTTAACTGCATGATTTGTCGATTTTCAGTTGTTTCAGCTCGATTTCTATTTCTCTTTCAGTGACTGGATCTAAAAAAAACAGAGTCAACATTACTTTTTTCTAAGTAAATTGCAAAGTTTATGATATTTCTGGTATTTTCCCTGCTATTCTTTTTCTCCTTAAATGCATCAGGTAATTCAGTTTTAGTTTTTCTTTTATTTATTACTTCGTTTATAAGTTTCCAAGATAATTTCAAATTACCCCCCGTTTCTGATTGGCTTGAGCCCTCCGGCTGATTCTTCATAACCAACTCAGCAGGATCCAGCAGCTGAACAGATAATCGTCAGAAAAAGGCTCATCAGGTGGCTTAGTAGCTAAGCTGTTTTTGAGAAAATGAAATCTAATGGAGAAAGTGGCGAAAGATTTCACTCGTTTTGCGGAGAAGAAATATCCGAACTATAGCCTAAAACAAGTAAACTAGGAAAACACCATATACTCGAAGAATGACAACTGTTGTTTGAAAATCTCTTCTCACTAAATCATCCCGACCTTTATCCCCTAAACCTGTCAAGAAACAGACGCATGTTTTTAAATTAAAGGTAAATTTAAGTAGGCTGCACTTTTCACGGGACTGGCACATCAAAAACAGAAAATAAACTTTAGAATTTAGGGTCTAAAGGGTTAGCGATGTGTTATTCCTTTCTCTTTATCACGAAGGGTTAAACGGACTATGATGTCATGGCTGGCTAGTTCATTTTGTTGATGATGTTTACTTAATATATCCCGCGTCCTCATTCGCTTATCAGCTTATGGAACTTGAGAAATTACTTGTGATTGACAAAATTACAGCTTTGTGTCAAACAAATATGTTTATCAAACATTATATTATTTCAAACGTTTCAGACAACAAAAATAGACTTTGAAAAACTGTTTGGCTTAAACACTGCGGTTTTCAAAAACCACAACTTCACTGATTCGTTTCAATCTTCAAGTTTAACCATCCGTGCATCCTTTTGTATTTGCTGTTATTTACTTTTTTAACTTTTTGAGCGCGCTATTTTTTATGATTTACTTAATTTGGTGGCAGTGTTTGGTAAGTTTCGTGACATAGCTCCGGTTAATACTGAGCTAACTGGGCTCCTGCTAAGATACGTTTCACGTAGCTTCTAACAATTATGCGAGCATAATTGATATCAAAGGTGCCCCTAGGCTAATAAGATTGAGACGTTTCTTGTGTCTCTAAGAAAAGTTCGTATCGTACTCGTCGTCATTGATGTACGGTGTATACTGATTCAGTGCTCGAACCATATTTTCTTGGATTCTTCTGTCTTGTTGCCCACTGGAGTTTACCACCAAGAGCCCTCGACACAATCCGGATCATTAAGACCTAGAAGAGGTTTCTCTCTTGTTTGGCTTTTAGCGTTTACCAAGTCGTTGGTGTCGCTTGTCAGTCGCGTATAAAACAAACTAACTACGAGACTGACAAGCGATGCGAACAACTTCATATAAAAAGGCTTACATGCCGGAAAGAAGCCTCTGCTCGAGGGGTATTATACACGTAAGACCAAGTCTATTAACTGTAATGTACATGTATATGAAGGGGAGATAATCGAAAGTTTTTGCGGAAAAAAAATTGTTGCAATGATCACACTGGCTGGGAATCTTACACTTACCCTTTTGTGGCCTAAGTCGGTTGCAAACGCACAGGAGGTATTCGCAGCACAGACGAAGCTAGACGAGGTTCCAGATCTCTTGCGTGACCAGGACTGGCTCCCGTACGATGAATGATTGCCTCTTCAAACGACCAGTCCCCTGCAACGTATCAGAACCGCACGAATGTCACGCATTGTTGCAAACGATCTTGCTACCCCGGGGGGGGGGGGGCACTTTAGGAATTTCTGGGTAGGGATGTGCCGCTGGGACCCTGGAACCCTTGACCTATACCAGAGCTAGTTCAGCTGAATTTTGCTACCCTACACTAGAGTAAACTCCCAAATCCCCCTATCCTAGAGTAACTCAGTTTCCCCAGTCTAGATAAAATCTTCAACCAACTGATCAGTTTCCCGAAAAATGATACCCTATTCTAGACCCAAACACTCTGATTTATATACCCTATCCTAGAGTAAACTGCTTGAAAACCATACCCTTCACAGCGGCACATACCCATATAGCCCATATATGGTAGTACCCCGGAGCTTGCTACGTCTTAGGTACATCCTTTACGACTACCAAAGGTCTTCGAGGCCGAGTCTACAGGAAAGAAAAGCGAACGGGTATTTTTATTTTTGTTATTAGTCGTGTTTTCCACCATGTGTCAAGGCGACCATTTTTTGTGAAAAATAATATGAGGAAAAATATGAGGAAAGAGATCTTGTTGTTGTTGTTGTTGTTTTTTGTTTTATTTTATTTTATATTGTTTTATTTTATTTGGCGTAAAGGCATGAATCGGAGAAAAAATATCAGTTTCGCGGCTTACCGTCACAGAAACTCCACCCGTCACCTCCGTGTTCATTTAAAATTATCTCTTTACTGACCTATAATCCTTTTTATTTTATCATTATTTTTTATTATCGTGGAAGTTGTTTCATGTACGGAATAGTGGCGGAATGGGGATTCAGAACTGCAAATAAACGTGTTCGGCCCGCTCTTCCAGACCGCGAGTGCCTCAAAAATAATTTGTTCTCGGCCTTAGTCTCTTACCCGAGGGAAGAATAGGATCATGCGATTGTCACGAGTGACTATAATTGATCACCCGATCATTGATCCATTACGACAATACTTCAAAGCCGTGTCCTCAACTATTTGCTTCCAGTTTGGAAAGAAAAGGTCGCTTATTTGCATTAGTCTTCACTGAGGTACGGGCAAGCTAAAATCAAGCAGGTAATAGTCAAACAATGCACCATTTTAAATAATTAGATGGTCTCACTGATTTACGTGTTTATAACTGGTAAATAGAAGGTGGTTTTCTCAGACGAAACGACACGTTTGGATTGCAGTGAAACCTCTATTAACTGGACCCCCAATTAAGCAGACACTAAGCCGGGTCTTTAACGTCTTATATTTCCCTTTATAACGAACTCCTATTTAGCGGACACTTCTATTTTAAAAGCGGACGCGGACACTAAAATAAATTGTGTTTGGCTTATTTCTATTGTTAAAAACCTCTATTAGCGGACACCGTACTGAATTGACAATAGTAGTATTGGATTACGCCCTTGAAATACGTACTGTAGTCAATTAGGGACGGACCATTAGAAACGTTATGGGGGTGGGGGTGGGGAATTTTTGAGCCGCAGGAATTTTTTTTTCGTTATCAAATTCCTTGTATGAATTTTTTTAGGCCTTAGCATGAATATTTTTTAGGGTTAATTGGCGTGCATGAATTTTTTTAAATTAATTTTCCCTTGCGAGAAAATTTTTTTTGTACATCCCCCCCCCGTCTCCAAAAGTTCTCTAATGGTCCTTCCCTTAATAATAAATCAATACACTTAGCTGTCAATAAACTGAAGATTAGACCGATATCCGGCCCTATGATTGTCATTCGCGATCAAATTTCCCTTAAAAGTCTTGCACAAAGTACAGCGTTTCCTTTACGACATGGAACTTTACCACAGTACAGAGTAACCGTCATGCGTTTTCGTTAACAAACATTGCGCAATTTTTACACCCTCTATTAAGCGGACACTTGGGAAGGTCCCGAAGGTGTCCGTTTAATAGAGGTTTCTTTCACTGTATATCATTTACTTTCATCCATCAATGCTTTCTTATTGATGTAGTTGTCCAAACAGCGACTAATGGCAAAACCATGAAAGATACTGCAGAAACAGAAGCGCCCATACAGAATCGTGTGTTTACTTTAACATATAAATCGTTAGTGTTCATGTTTATGATGATGTTTATGATGTTGATGTTTATGTCAATTAAAACCGTAAACTTCCTCTTGTAAGTCCACCCCCCCCCCACACACACACACACACACATTAGTTAAAGCCCATCTACCTGCAATCAAACAAACACCTCCGGTTATAAGCATTTTTCTAGCTTGTATTACAATGAATTCGATTTTTCATGACGTTAGGATGAACTTTAAAATGACAGGGAGTAAATTCATAAAGGATTTTGATTAGCATTGCGCGCTATGTACCTTGTTTGAAAACGCTTTTTTAGTCTGGTTATAAGCACCCGCCCCCGAAAGGGCTTCCTATCAGATGCTAACCCTTGTTGTTTATTTTGAATGACTCTACCCTGCTGTGTTTTCATCCTGGAATAGAATGGCTGCCAAATCTTATGAAGCTGGCGTGAGAAAATACTACGGTGACAGACTGACCAACATCTCAGGTGACACAACAAGTGAAGAAATTAGGCATGTTTATGATAACTGGGCCAGCGAATATGACAAGGTGACAAAAATTTCATCTGACTCCGTTTACATGGGTCCACATAAGTATTTTGAACGGATAAAAACTTGCACGGATCCGCCTTCCGTTTACACCGAACCCGCGGAACCGCGCAAGTTTATCAGGAACGGCAAACAAAACAGCATTCTGCAACAGAATTTGCAAGGTTTTGCATGGTGTAAACGGGTTGCACAGGCCAAAAAATTCGTCCGTTTAAAAATTTTTCCGGACACAAGTAAACAGGGTCAGTTTCGTAGTCAGGTGAAATTATCGCGCAGCATCTTTTGAACAACAACAAAAAAAGGTTAATGGTTTCATTCTCAATTCAGCCTCTCCAAGAGCCAAGCGCTAGGTTTCTAAATTCAGTGCCAGGTCCCTGACATCTCTTTAGAACTCCAAGTTTAGTTTCTCCCTTTTACAATTCCAGTGTAAGTACATAGTTAGGGATAAGCATTTTTTTATCTCACTATAACCGTCTATTCTCCACTCCGCAGGTCCTCTCCTTAAAAATCTCAATAAGTTGCTACCAGAAAATAAAGATGTATGAGAAGATAAATAAGTCAGTGTCAATGATCTTAAGTCTTAGTATGAAATATAGGTTTCAGTTAGAGTATTCCCCTCCGAAGACGAGGTACGAACCCCGGGGGGGCACTTGGGTATTTTTTGGGTGGGTATGTACCGCCGGGACTCCAAATTGGCACCCCGTTCTAAAAAAAAATTCCCCTGAAATTGATACCCCGTTCTAGAAATGGGCCAATTTTTTATATCCCGTTCTAGAACTCGCCCTAAAACTGATACCCCGTTCTAGAAATGGGCCAATTTTTTATACTCCGTTCTAGAAAGTTTGTAAATTGAAATAGCCCTGTTTTTTAAAAAGATATTTCTTTAATTGTTCGACTTATACATCAAATAAATGCTTCTTCATAATCAGCAACAATTTTAAGCAGAAGATAAAGCGGCGATCCACAATTTTTTATACCCCGTTCTAGAAAACGCCTCTGAAATGGATACCCCGTTCTAAATCAGGAGCTTCAAAATCATGACCCCGTTGGGCGGCACATACCCGTATAGGTAATGTCAGGTGATGTATGGGAGTACCCCCCCCCCCGGGAGGTACGAACTAAACGAACACAAATTTCCCTCAAACCAAAGTTTCCCTCTAAATAAGTAGACTTTTTTCAGACGTCGTTTAGGCTGACTATTTGTTATCCCGCAAAACAGGTGACTCAAAAAATAATTCTCAACAAGGGGAATTGTTTGGCGGAAAGAACTTGCCCTGACTTTCTAACGGACAACATCGCTCGAACACACAGCGCATGAACCGTTTCATAACCAGGAGGGAGTATGACAATAGATAAATTGAACCATGCGTTTTTCACATTCTTGCTATGCATGGCATAATATCTAATCAAGTTGGAAATTGATGGAAATCCATTTTCCCACCCTCGTTCCTAGGGTCTTCTCGTTTTCCAATATGGCAAGAGAAGACCTGGGGACAAGGTTGCCTTTTTCCCACGGAACGTTTTCAAATGACGTCACATCCGCCATATTAGTGTTCCAAAACAATAAAACGGTGGCCACGTTGGTGTTCCAAAAAAGTTCTGTGGGAGTTGAACCTTATTTTCATCGCTACTCGCTACATGAGTGAAAACGTTCTGTACTTAGATCAGACTTATTATGACTTGAGCCTAAATAGTTTTAAAAATTAAGCAGAATATAACGCTCGTTCATCGGATGTCTTTGTTCAACCCTACGTCTTAGAATGTTGTTGATGCAGCACGTTGTGTTTGCCACAAGCCACTTGCGGAATCTCTGGACGGAGCCCTCAAAGACAATTTCCCTGAAAAAGCAAAAGATGACCTCAAAATCATTGACGTGGGAGCAGGGACAGGATTAATAGGAATAGAACTTCAAAAACTTGGTTACAGTAATCTTCAGGCGTTGGACATTTCACCTGAAATGTTAAAAGAAGCAAAGAAAAGAAATATTTACAAAAGGTTTTTTTGCGTCGCATTAAGTGACCAACAGATTCCCGAGATACAAACAGGAGAGTTTGACGCTCTTATTTGTGCTGGTAGTCTCCTTGCGGGGCATATCAGGGCAGCTGCTTTTGAAGAAATGGTCAGGATGGTAAAACATGGTAAGATTGTTGTCATTGTTTTTTTTTCTTCGTGTACAGTTTGTCATAAAAAGGAGTGTCAATCAATACTTAACTACCTAAGTGGCGATAATAATAATAATAATAATAATAATAATAATAATGATAATAATAATGAAGATGATGATGATGATGATGATAATGATGATGATAACAACGACGACTACGAAGATATTGATGACACTGGATAAGTTTTATCTTGACCACAGGGGGAGGGTTTAGAGAAACAGACAATTCTTTTTCAGGGATTTAAGACTGTTTCTTTTGCCCCATTCTCGCGACATGACTATCATTACATCTTATACCCATAACTATCACTGTAATTATGAATTTTCAGATTTTGTTGTTGTTGTTTATAGGTGGTATAATCTGCTTCAACGTGCGGGATGGCCAGCTGGATGACTACCGGGAGAAAATACAGGAACTAGAGAGAACGGCACGATGGGAAGTGATCTCCAAGAACGCAGTGTCTTTTTTCGAAACTGAGGAAATGCCCAGAGAAACCTACGCTTTCTTGTTTAGAGTTTTGGGGAAGTAACGCCAACATTCAAGCTTGTCATTAGTAGTGGTAGCGCCAACATTAGAGACCTCTAGACTCGAGGACGAGAACGACAACAAGGACAAGATTTAACTTAAGGTTTTTTCAACTATTTTTAAAAAAATAAACACCGCGGAAAGCTTCATTGTACTTACAAGAAAATTTAAGTCAATACCCTGCAGTAAAGTAAAAGTTGCTCAATAGCATATTTGAATTCACTTTCAATTTCCCCGAAAATTCCCTAACTAGTAATAGTTGACACTACAGCTGCCCCCGTTCTGTATATTGTCGGTCAATAGTATTCTTGCTGGTTGTGTAGCTCTTTAAAATATACCGATTCATAATGAAGATTTTCACACATATTCCATACAATAGGTGAGATAAATACAGGTAACGCAAGGTTCCATGCACATTTTCAGCTTGATTTACACACAGCTTTGATCAAAACATTCTCAGTTTCGAGAATAGTTTATTCTAAACCATAAGGAAAGATTTAATTAGAAGTTGAATTTTTCGCTATTTCTCTTTCCCTTTTTACATTCAGTTCATTTTATTTGCCGGAAAGTAAGCCTTAGAAATTAAAAGGACGTTTGATCGATTCACGCTAGCGCATTCTAGTCTTATTTGAAACTTTATAACGGAAGGACATCTGTGAGCAGGGAATAAGTCAGCACAGAATTTGATTGTCGGCGAATTTCTGCAAAATAATGTCCATCAATCTGCTAGTGATAAGCTAGCCGTTGTTCACTCGTCTTGTTTGGGGCTGAGTCTTATTCCGGTCAAAGAGAGAGAAAGAGTCTGGCAAGGTTTCCAATATAAATCATATCAAAGATTTGTGAACTCGTGTCTGACAAACTCTGCAAGTGTTTATATATACACAGTTAAACGCACCTTATAACCTCCCCTGCGCTTAACGAGTGTCTTTTATTTGGTCCATAACTTTCAAAACAACTGCTCCACAGAATGTCACTGCGTAACGCAAAAGCGTATCGAAGTATGACTGCATGATAAATGTCACAAAATCTACCTGAGCGGTCCCTTCGGGATTTTCTGTCTTTACGTCATCCTAACCATTTCGTACTTGGGGGCGCAAACAATAGAAACGTCATCATTACCTACCGATTCCTCGCAGCCCCAGTTCGAGCAAATCGAGATTTTTTCTAGTATACTGACTGTATATTTGAACTGTAAGTACTGTCCTTAATATACGCGCGAGTTACTAGGGTGCCTCCTCGGGATTTCGCCTCTGGGCGAAATCCCTGCGGGGGCAATAAGGCAACGCTTTAAGAGGACAAGACGCATAACTGCGTGAGCTCGTGCAAATGCTTTCGGATGGATCAAGAAAAGTTACCATATAAACACTCATGTACAAGCCCCTGGCGGGTCCAAGAAATAACCAGGTTGATCATGAGTTATCAAGCAAAGCACATACAGATGGCGAGTACAGAAACCTCAGTTGGTCATCGACTGGAGCCGAGTTGGGCCTCGGCGTCGGGCTCGAGTTAGGAGTTGCATCTCGAACTGATCTTGCCTTGTTTCTTTGATTCCTTTTTGGTTGATCGTGATGTTATTATTATTATTTTTTTTTTTTCAAAAGATCGCCACGCAGCGCAGTCTTCAGAGAAGAGAGTCTAGAGGCTGTTGCTTGGCACATATTTGACCAACGTCAAAGCTATAAGGGTGTCTAAGTAAATTAATTAAAAAAATAAAAACTAATTTAAAAATGCAATAAACTATCTTAATTCGTCAAAACTCTGTATACAAAACCAAGGATGTCCTTCGGCAAGTCATCGTTTTCATATAAAGGAATCTTTTTTTTCGCTGACTTTTATCCATCGTCCATCTTCAGCATCATTCCTTGGTAGTCGCCTAATTCAGTGTCTCGGATATCAAAACAAATAAGGCCAGCTGGAAAGAAAAAAGTGGCATCGTGAATAAAAACACTTAGGTTCACCTTTTTTTACAGAACCAGCTTCCCAGACAAAAATAAGTAGTAAAGAAAAAATTAATATAGTAAAGCTGAAGAGAAGAGAGCTCGATACTGTTAAAAAAAGTAACTAGAGGTCAGGATCCATTGGTTCAAACGGTGGTGTAGTCGCAGCCTTTACGGGATTTAAATTTGCACACAAAAAACTTTATTTCTAGATCTTCGACAATCAATAGGAACAAGGTGAACCGAAGAGAAGCGATGTGGAGTAGAGCGAAACAAAGTGAAGCGGTACTGATAAAAACAACAATTAAACAACTACAAGGTCAAGATAAAATAACCAACCAATTGAGCGAAAGCAATGAGGCAAAATGAAAATGCGAATGAAACAAACGACATACTTACACACGATAGCGAAATAAGATGAAACACTAGGACGAGCAAAGAGCAAAAATGAAAAGACTTAAACCGTGGACCAGCGAAGCACAACAAAGAACTGACGCGAAAATTATAATCGAAGCTAAATATACCATATGCAATAAAACTTAACACGAAGAACAAAGACACGCAAACAATAAACAATGAAATTTCTACCTAATTCTCTTGAGTGCCACAGCCTCGCGACCAACACCATCAACAATAAAACAAACCAAAACAAAGAGGCGACTTAAATACAAGACAAAATCGTGGTCACCGCATGATAAAGAGGGTTGTAACTATTACTACAGGCATAAATTTGGTCTTTTTGCGATCAAAGCAATCAAAACAGTTAACACTTAAACGGGGGGACATGCTTAAGTAGCTGCCATACCTGTACTAGTAGTATGTGTCCGGAGTTTCCCTTTTATAAACTTTTTCACGCACAAAATAACACTAAAATGCTTTCTCGACAATTCGTTAACTTTCCTTAGCCGAACAGTGCATTTTTCCGCTTTAGACCCCCGTTTCCGAAATGGCAGACTTTGCTGCCTACATGTACCGTTCAAACGTGCAGACAGACGGTGTTCTATGTATCGTTTGATTGATGAAAATCTATTTCCAAATGGTTTTCATCAGGTCGCGCAGCATTAAAAATAATGGTAATTGGACTATAGGTCTTACCGATCCTAACCATTCTGATCATTTCCAAAAACGCAGAGGAGCGAGCGTGTCCCCTAAACAGTGTACCAACGCAAATCAGAGCATCATATTCCCCAGTGTCTATTTCAGGAATCCGCTGGTCACTCAACGAGGCGCAGATGAACTTTTTGTAGAAGTTTTTCTTTTTTGCTTCGTTTAACATTTCAGCTGAAATATCCAACGCGTGCAGTACATTGTAGCCAAGCTCATGAAGTTCCAGACCTAACAGTCCCGTACCTGCACCGACTTCAATGATTTTCCACTCATTCTTTGTACACAACACAGCGCGTTGACAGGACTTGCTGAAATTGTCAATCAACCGCAGCTTTCGATCAATGCATAGTAATGATAATAGCAAAGATAATGAAAGTAAAAATAATTATAACCAATAATAATAATCATCATCATCATCATTATAATTGTAACGCTTGGAGAAGAAGGTAAAAGAAGATATTTGATCAAAAGTGTGAAATATAAAATTCCGTCAACCATATTCTTGACTGAAGGTGGCTACATACATGTACATACAATGACAAATGGCAAAAGAGCACCTCATGCACAGTTTTATGTTTTTCATCATCTTTAAATTTACAACAGCTACCTTGAGAGAGCCGGTTACCGCCTTCCTTTTAAGTCAATTCATTCTTTTAGTGGACAATCGTTTCAACATTTGCTTACGCTGTAGCTGCAGTCGTGTACAGCCGCTCCTTCCCCTAGTACTGTGTAAATCTGAAAAGTAAGTTACCACCATCTCGCGAAATCGAGGGACGAAAGACTCGTCCCGAGAGACGAAAGTCTTGTCTCGCGAGACGGTTAAGAAATTGCAAGTATCAAGTGTCTTCCGAGGTTTTCCGTCACAATACGGCATGCACACGACCAAGAAGGTGATGTGATAAATTAGAGGCAAGAGATGCTCGAATTAGAAGTAGCTTAAAACTACAGTACAGTATCAACGAAAAATGAAAGAAACATTTACAGTCTTAAATGCGCTTGTCAATTATAATTGCGAAACCTCTCCGAGAAATACAGTGCAAAAACTAGGATAGTAACAGTAAAATGGATAGTACGCGTACATCGTCTGTTTTCACTATATTTATTCGAATATTTCATTTAAATATGTGATACCCTCGGCGTCAGAGGCTTTTTGCTCGGGTCACTATGTAGACTCGACAGAAACCGGAAACCCCACCTGAAACGTCTCTGGCATCCAGAGTAAATGTGCAATAGTAAACAGCTCTTTCTGAACTGGATAAAACTTTCGCCAAGACAAATGTAAGCTTTGTGT